AACGTTTGCTGAAATTCTTTTTCTTTAGGAAAGTGATTTTTTTATTTTTAAAAAAAAAGCTAAAAATACCCTCTCTTTTTTGTGGATAAGAAAGATGGCTGCAAACACCCACTGTTTTTCTTTTTCTTTTCTTTTCTTTTTGAGATAGAATAACCTTAAAAAAGACAAAACATTCTTTTTTGTTTTTAAACAAATAGACCTTATGAAGTTTTTATTTTTTATTTTTTTATTTTCTATGTTTTTTTTTTATTGCAAAGGTATTTTTCTTTCCTTTTTTTTTCAAATATGAGAAAGGCCTTAATTTTTTAAAAAAAAAAAAAAAAACAAGATGGCCTTAAAATAAATTTTTTTTTTTTTAAAGACTAGTGGCTTTTTAATTTCTTTTTTTTTGCCTCTCCCATACCCTAAAACTCTCTCTCTCACACAATATTTTCTTCCTATTATCTCTCAATCTCTTTTCCCTATTTCTTCTTCCTATTTTCTATCAATCTCCTTTCTCTATTTTCTCTCAATCTCCCTTCCATAAATTTCCTCTGAAGAGATTTGTTGCTATCTACATAAATCTCCTCTCAAAGAATAATTTCTATCTGTTCCCCAAAATCCTCTTAACAACTCACACACCTCATCCCACTTAACTTACAGTCCCGTATTATTGATATGAAAAACTATCCCATAAATACCAAAGAAGAAAAAATTATTCCATGAATATCAAAAAAAGATTAAAGAAGAGACCAAAGAATGTTTTGAACGTGAATACCAACATAGACTCCTAACAATTAACTCAAAGTGATAACTACGTAATAACTCCAAAACTAAAGCTCTATCTCTTAATAAAAAACTCTACCTCCTTTAATAAGATAAAGGAAAATGAATAAACAAACTAGAAACCTTATGAGGAAAGAAAAGAAAACAATGAACTCAAAAAAATAAGAAAACTAAAGTCAGAATCCCAAAAGCAGATATTTATGCCCTTCTCTCTCTTTCTCTCTGTTTAAAACTCACAAAGTTCAAGGAGATGAAAATAAAATAGAAAACATTGAGATCTAAAAATTTATAGCCAGAAACAAAAACAGGCAAGTTCTCTGAACACAAGAAAGTTATTTTGAACGGATCCAAGCCCTTAACAAGTTGGAGTAGGTGGAGAGAGAATAAAATAGGAAGTTCAGTAGCCTTTTTGAATAAAGATAAGCACCCAAAACAATCTTTTAGAAATAGAAAAGAAACAGACACATAAATATAAACATAAACATAAACATGCTGTTATCACAAACATAAACATAAACATGCTGTTATCACAAACATAAACATAAACATGCTCTTATCACAAAAGTCAATGAGTGATCTCTTTTTTTTTTTCCTTTTTTTTTTCTACTTACAAACTAAAATAATACTAAATAAATGAAATGAAAGGAAATACTACGGAAAAAAGTAACAAAAAAATATTTTCCAATGAAAAAGGTTTTTATTTTTTTATTTTTTTTTTTTTTTTTTTTCTTTTTGTAAATTTTTTTTTTTTAAAAGAAAGACCCAAAAAAGGAGATCAGGGGACTGCTTTTATTTTATTTTTTATTTTTTTTATTTTTTGTTTATGGATCTAGCTCGAAATGCTCACAGTGGGCACCAAACTGTTTATAGTGCAAAATCAAAGAGATCCTCATAAAAAGATCCCTCAGATCTGAATACCACAAACTGATTTTGAAATAAGATGATAGAGAATGTGGAAAATCGAATTCTGATCTGGGCCAAGATCCGTAGAGAATCGAGCGGATCTATTCTCAGATCAGTGGCAACGCCAGCATTGATCCAAATATGAAACACGAAATAAAAAGCAATAAAAACTAATATAATCTAATTAAAATGAAATAAAAGCAGAAAATAAATAATAAAAGAGTAAGAAACGATACCAAACCAGACTAGATGGCCCAAGACTCCCGAGCCTTCTGGGGCTCGCTCGCATCAGAAGAGGTCCTCTCTTGTCGTATCAGAACAGGTACTCTCTTGTCTTTCTGAGTCGGATGTCCACTAGAAAGTCTCTGGTTGAATAAGGGTGGTTGCCCCAGAAGGGGCGGTTTGGATACCTGAAAATCTATTACGTGACAATAGATTACAAGGAAATATGACATTCATTACCCCATATTTCCTTCCCAAAAATCATGAAATCTATTACGCACGATGAGGGGTGAAAAATCCATTACGCTCTTGACGGGTAATCTTTGGAAATCTTTGGTGTGCGTTTCTCTGCCCTATACTGCATAAAAAAATATTTCCCTAGTCTATGCTGTATTGTATGATTATTAAGGTAAACAGAAAAAAAATATTTCCCTATTCTATGTTGTATTGTATAATTATTAAGATAAGTAGAAAGTGAAATTAGAGATATGAAAAGGGTAATCTAAATTGCCATATCCTACTTAAAAAAAATATTTTCCTAGTCTATGCTGTATTGTATAATTATTAAGGTAAATAGAAAAAAATATTTCCCTAGTCTATGTTGTATTGTATAATCATTAAAGTAAGTAGAAAGTAAAATTAGATATATGAAAAGGATAATCTAAAGTGATTTGAACAGGTATACAAACTTAATGAGGAACAATTTTCTACTCCAATCATAATAAACAAATTTCTACATCCCTCTATCCCCATTTGGATTCTAACCCTCATCTAACTCTCATATAAAAAAAAAAAATTTACATCCTTCTATCTCCAATTTGGATTGTAGCCCTCATTTTACTCTCATATAAAAACAAAAATTTTTAATAATGGGTAAGTAAAAGTAGGGGAAATCTAAATTGATTTGATTAGATGTAGCACTAGATGAGGGACAGTTTTCTATTGTATTCATAATAAAAAAAATTCTACATCCCTTTATCCCCAATTTGAGTTGTAGCCCTCATTTGAAGCTATCAGCTCATATAAAAATAATAATTGATAATCGATGAGAAATTACACAACACAATCATAATAAAAAATTTCACACAACATAATCCACATAATCCTCATTAGAGATTGGTAAAAACTCAATTGAAATAAGATACCTCTTTAGTTGCCTCCAATACTTCAAAATTTTATATTGCAATTACCAAACCTTATAGTTTACTAATCAAACTTCTTTCCATTTTTTAACTTATACATCCCTTTATCCTCAATTTGAGTAGCCCTCTCCATGTTTTAACTTATACATCCCTCTATCCGCAATGTGAGTTGTAGCCCTCAGTTGAAGCCGTCAGCTCATATAAAAATAATAATTGATAATCGATGAGAAATTACACAACACAATCATAATAAAAAATTTCACACAACATAATCCTCATAAGATATTAATAAAAGCTCAATTGAAATAAGATACCTCTTTAATCTCCTCCAATACTTCAAAGTTTTATACTGCAATTACCAAACCTTCTAGTTTACTAATAAAACTTCTTCCCATTTTTTAACTTATACCATAAAGATTTTGATTTTGGTATCATAAATTTATTGCTTATTTGAAATTATATATAGAGAGACATTTGAAAGACTTCTATAAAAAATAAATAAAAATAAGATTTATCACAATAAAATAATGTTATTCCAATGACTTATCATGTTGAAAACAAAGTCTAATCGTATTAGCCAAACATAACCATATTTTTCGTATTTGATTGGTAATGGATTTCTCATATTTCTTTGAGAGATAACCAAACACTAGAAATGTTTCCCAATTTGCATCTAAATACTACCCAAACAGTGACAATCCATTTGCAAGCAATTTGCATCTAAATACTACCCAGATAGTGACAATCCATTTGCAAGCAATTTGCATCTAAATACTACCCAGATAGTGACAATCCATTTGCAACAATTTGCATCTAAATACTACACAAACAGTGACAATCCATTTGCAAGCAATTTGCATCTAAATACTACCCAAACAGTGACAATCCATTTGCAAGTAATGTATTATGCAGTAATGTATTATGCCAGTAATATATTTCACGGACAATATATTTTCAGGTATCCAATCGGCCCCTAAGGGTAGATCTAGGGTGGTTGTACCCTAGGTCTAGGTTTTCTTAGACTTAGGTTTTCTCCTCGGGCTCTTGAAGCAGTTTTTAGGGTTTTCTCTTCTCTCTTGTAACTCTCTCTGGTTTTTTCTCTCTGATCTCTATATGTTATCTTTCCTAGGGTTCTGGTCTCTCAGACTTTCTCTCTATCTATTCTCTTCTCTAGGGTTCTAGTCTCTCAGATTTTTTATCTCTATCTGCTCTCTCCTAGAGTTTGGTCTCCCTCATTTTTTTTTTCAAATAACCATGAAAAAAGGGTTTATATGGTGAAAATCCGTTGGGGAGGATATACTCACATAACCTACACGTACTTAGCTAAGGGTTTAGGAAACCACATTAAAATTGGGTGTCTACAATAATATAGGGTGTCTACAATAATATATTTCGGCTTTATACCGCCATGAAATATGTATTTCATCGCTTATCCAATAAGTGAACCACCTTCTAAATATAGGTACACATAAAAGGTATGAAAATATTGTACCCAAAAATAAGCGTAGGTTTCTATAATTTCCACACGCTTCCTCAAACTCAAGATGAGTTAAGAGAGAGCAACTTGAGTTTGGACAACTGAAGGCAGGCTTTAGAAAGAAAGCAGAAACAAAAGAAGCTTGAACTACAAATTAGCGATCATCTGAAATCCACGCCTTGAACAGAGCAATCTCGCATAACAGCACATCAATAAACTTTTAGAACAGACATGATCGAGTAACTAAAGAAAATATCGTTAATTAGGTAGAAAAACCACCACAATCAGCCAAAAAACTAATAGATCGACCCAAAAAAAAACTTGCTGCAAAACCAGAAACTTGCAAGGGGAAAGCAAGATCGGGCAAGATCAACTAGGGCAATTGAGAGAGAATTAACAAAAGGGACACATGCCAAATTAAGGATAGAACCAAAATCAAACAGATTATGAACCAGACATGAATTCCTCCTTGAATTTGCCTCAACTACTATAGAAATTCAAGTCCCCAACCAAAGACGGACCCGACAATGTTCTCAACTAGAAACCCTTGAACAAACCAATTTTGCTTATGGTTTAAAAATGATCAAAGCCCGACACTAATCCTTAACCAGATGAAGAGAACACACATTTCAGCAAAAGAAAAACCCTAATTCGAGGATTTGAGAAATTAGAAAACAATGCATGTGGAAGACATAGAGAGAGATCACTGGCGCTATGAAAAAAAAAAACGCGAAAAATAATACCAGATTTGTGCGAGATTGCAAATTCTTAAAACCAATTTATGGAGTCACAAAAAAATCGATCAAGGCATAACATTGCTCTGATACCACATGAAAAACTGTATTTCTATATATTTGGGCTTTAAGCCCCCATAAAAGATGTATTTCAAAGCTTATCGAAGAAGTGAACAATATCCCCAATTATAAAGTTCTAAAGCTGTGTATTACTAAAAAATGTAACATATGTAATGAAACACCTTCCTAATATAAGTGCACATAAAAAGAAGAAAAATATTGTACCAAAAAATAAGTGCAAATTTTTACAATTTCCACAGTATAGACCTTTTTTTAGTTTTTTTGATTGGGGAAGGGGGTATTTGTTCAGAAAGCCTATTTTGTAGTAAAAAGTGAGAATAAAAGTTTGGTTGGGCATAACTTGCATAGAAAGTCAATCTTAGGGGTATTTATAATTTTCTTCATAATATATAGATAGATATTAACACCAAAGCTAAAAGTAAAAGGTGCAGCTGGCATACGGATGCAACCGTAGCTATAGAGACAAAAGTAAAAGGTGCAGCTGGCAGATGGATGCATCTGTAGCTCTAGAGATAAGGTGCACCTTCAAATTTTATCGTGGTATATAATTTTATTGTAAAATGTTTTTAGGATTATCTCAAAATCTATTTTTATATCTAATTATAAAATTTTAAATTTAAAAAATGGTTAAACATATGAAAATTTTTAAAATAGACGGTGTAGATAATATGTTGTAAAATATACTATTTTGTAGACTGAAAATCTTTTTATTTTTCATGGTCATATTTTTCGATGTCAAGATGATCAATCAGAGGGTTTTTCAACATTAAAACTATCTTTTTCCGATGGATTTTTTAGGTGCATCCATAGCTCTGCATTATAAGGTTGCAACCTTATATAAACTTTTTCCAAAAGCAAATGTTTAGAAAATAACGAGTCCTTATTAAACTATCACTAGTGATCATAGCGCATGGACTCAGGCCATCACTTATGATGATTTATATGCCAAATTAGATACGGGCAAAAAAGAAAAAAAAGGGACTATTTCATACCCGACAAATACACAAGCAGTGGAAAACTAATTAAAAGCCAGCCCATAAATTCTACAATAAGAATAAAAACACAAACATGAAAAGAAATGAGTGGCCAAGAAACATAAGAATCTTTGGTTATTTTCTTAGCATCTAGCAGTCGGGTTATAATGATAATCTTCCCATTATACACTATAAAAACCCATGCATCTGAAAAAGCTTATAGGACTAGTTCTTCTGCTGGTTTCCAAAAGCTTAAAATCTTTGTCATGCTCATGCATCAAGAAAGCTCATGCATCTGAAAATTCACAAAGATTGAAACAAAATCAGATGGAAAGGAATTGAAACAAGATCAAACTAGACAATCAAGTATTCAGATTTTCTGAAGTGATTAAAAAGTGCAATTTAGCACGCTGAGATAACAGGGAATAAAGGATGACGTGCAAGAAGAACCAAATTATAGCAACCTCCAAAAAGCTAAGAAGTGCATAATCCGTACATGAATGAAATACAAAGTCCACCAGCTCACAAACACTTTCTGAATGTTATCCACTGTAATCACTGCCTCTGAAACTAATTAAAACAATTTCAGACAAAAAAAATCGATCTTCACCAAATGAATAGTATCCGCCTTGACAACCACCAAGCATAGAATCACTAGGAACTAGGTCAAGGAAAGCCAACGTGAGAAAACAAGAAATAAAAGCTTCTAATTCCACAAAAACTCAATGATAAGATTCCCAAGAACCACAAATGAGTCCCTCACTCACAAAATTAAAAAGGAATATAACTTTCCTTCTTCAAATGAAGACCTCGAGCACATGTAGGAAAAACCCTGGGCTTGAGCGAATCACAATAAGAGTGCAAGAGATTTGCCATAAATTTATCTCTCTATTATTGCACCATTCACACTCTCTCTCTCTCTCTCGCTCTCTCTCTCTCTACTATCTATCTATCTATCAATCAATTGATCCAAAAGACAAAAATTCCCAAATTTTGAATCAAAACAAACAAACGTTCAGTTCAGACAATTTGAAAATTTGAAACTGTAAACCCTTAGTACCAATAAATATTTCAAAACCATGCTACCGCGAAGTTCAGCATGTAAATATTTCAAAACCATAGTACAATGAAATTCAGCATGTCAAAAAATCCTATTACCTTGAAAATAGGTACCCGAAGTGGTGACGAATACAAGCCTGCTGTGATAGCTTTGTAATTCTTGTAATTGCTCTGCTGTTTTAGAACAGGGGTAAAGAAGGATTTGCTGCAATTGCTCTGAAACATCTTTGTGATTGTTGTAATTGCTTCGTGGTTTCAGAAGGGAGGGAAAATGAATGCTTTGCTGCAATTGCTCTGCTGCTTGTGTTTGTGTGTGTGTGTGTGAGAGAGAGAGAGAGAGAGAGGCTGGTCTGGTCTGTTTCAGGGTATTGACAGTGGGAGAAATGAAGAAGAGAAAGCTCAACTTTGAGAAGAGAGATGGAGACAGTGTTGGGAGGGAAAGAGGTGAAGGGGATAGGCCCCAATGGTGGGAATACAAGCTTGAAAGGAAATCAAAGATTTTCAAAATAGCAAGTTTCAGATGGATTTTGGAGAAGAAAAAATGCACAGAAATCCTCATTTCATTGAAACCATTATTTTCCAAAATCCAAGATTTGATGAATGCGAAACAATTGAAAGGGCCAAAATCTCGGATTTAAAAATCAATGGTGAATTGCTCCCCTAAAAGCATTACTAGAAAGCGCAGAGCGCCAATCCTGGAAAGCCTTAAAAGGTAGGGATTACTATCAAGTCTGTGTTAACTTATCAAAAAAATATGAATAATCAAACAATCAGATTGCTATTTGCAGTTGTTTTAGCTACTCCCATCCAAATCTTGCGTAGGGAAATCACATGGGCCACCCTTTGGAATTCTACGTATATGAGTGCTCATAGTATCCATCAAGAAAGTAATCCAACCAAAGTCCCAAAACAAAACAATCCACTATTACGATAACCTCTTCCAATTGTCATAAGGATATACAAGAAAAAGTGGGGAAAGCCACCATCAAGAGAATGTAAAAGTAATATGGTGTTTGCTACTGCAACTAACCCAGACAAAAAGAATTGAAACACTACAAGGAAACCAAAATAACAGTATATAAGGTCCACACAGTGTGAACACCGCAAAAGGCTATAGTGCACCACATATCTTTTTCACCCACTTCAAACGTCGTTCACCCTTGAGTGCCACAAATATAGAAGCATCTTTTTTATCCTTCAACCTTTCACAAGCTTCTAGGAAGAGATCATCATCCAAGTCGTCCATTGTCTCCAGCTCTTCTATTATGCTCTTCATTATATCATGCTTATTCTTCCTCACATTTCCCGCACTCAAAGCTCTTTCTGTCTTTCATTGTATCATGCCTCCTTCCATTTGCCACACTCATAGTCACTCTATACCTTGCGCTGGCTGCAATCTCTTGCAAGGCTTCAGCCATAATCTCACCGGGACCCTTTCTTGTTCTTTTGCCATGGAACAATCGTAATGATTCTGTAGACCGGCGATGTTTCGGTTGAATTGGTGTACTCTCATCATCTCTTGAACCTAAAGAGTCCTCATGCAAGACATCTGGTGAATCAGAAAATGTAGTTGGAGATTGTAGGGTCAACATCACATCATTGGCCTCTTTTGAGGCTTCTCCATTATGACTTGAGAGTATACATGAACCATCCGCTGTTGGATTGCCAAAAATTATCCCCAGTGACTCATGGAGAGGCAAAATCCTTCTTTGAAATGGTTTGGCCTCAGGGTGCGCCTGCACATATAATATGTAAGATACTTGGAAGCAACCAAGGTTCAGAAAAACCTTCATCACATCGGATATATCTAAACATATCAACTTCAGCCCAGCCAATTAAGATATGATAACAGTTAAGGTGCTTAAATAACTTTGGTTCAGTTTATAATATATTGCCAATAAAAAATAGCGTAAAGGTTGACATATTATGTTTCAAATGAAAAAACCAATTTTAAGCCCTAGAACTCCATTCGATCCGTTATATATTTGTCATCTACAAAAGTGCTCACAAATATAAAATAGTACACCTGTTCCATTTTCCACACTCCCATAAGATATTTTTGCCAATATCAGCCCCTCTGATATTTGGTATTGGGACAATATCATATGATTCATATGCTTTATCACTGCCCATCCAATTTTGGAACATATAGTTCAATTAATAAATTGTCCTCTAACCCACATTGACGGGATAGTAATAATCTTATGATCATGGTGTTATGACCATCATATGGATCATGTTATACAGCACCATAGGTAATACTGGTCTTTTGAAACTTGGAAGCAGCTAATCATATTTAAGGATTTACATATTATCCAACTCACCGAGATGTACTCATTCCAAAGATGAGCATCTGCTGTCACAATCTTCCTAGTCTCATCCCAAACCACTCTGATCAAGGATCATCTTCACCATATTGTACTCTTTCCTGAAGTACCCATGACGATGTTTTAGCTGGTCTTTGTTGAGATTTTGGTAGAATTTCCTGTTGAATTCGTGGGTCATGTAACACCAAGATTCCTTACTAAATCCCTTCTCAATTTTTTTACCTTTGTTAACTTGGTCAACCAATAGGCCCGCGAAGAACTCATCCCAATTTGGCACCCACTCAATCCTTTTTTGTGTTCGGGGCAGGCTTTCCATAATTGACAATCCCTGCATTTATGTCCTAAATGTAAATTCCATTTGTTTAATGATAAATTTTGACCAATAAAAAAAGAAAACCTCTCACTAAAACCGAATATTCCATTTGCTTTAGGATGAAATTGATCACTAAAAAAACGTTCTCTAACTTAAAATGACTACTCAATTGGTCTTATGATAAGTTTGATCAGTAAACCAAGAGGTTCGCTAACTTAAAAAGAATACTCCATCTGTCAAATGATAAATCTGATCAACAAATACAGGTATTCTCTAGATAAAAATGAATGCTCCTTTTGTCATATGATGAAATTGATCATCCGTTAAGAGGTTTTTTAACTTAGGATAAATACTGTCTTATGATAAATTCAAGGTCTTAAAAAACGGATTGATGATCTGGATCATCCCTTCAGATCTCCATCCCAGTTTAGTGAATCGGCGATCCGGACTTCCAAATTGGACATTAAAAAATTGAAAAAAAAAAAAAGTGGGGTATGTTCTTTGACAAAACTAGCTGATTCATGGGAGAACTAGCAGACTCCTGGGGGGAACCGGCTGGATCCCAATATTTTACTGGATCCAAATTGGGCCGATCTGGACCGTCCGGTTCCAATCTGGATTTTTCAAACATTAGATAAAATTGATGAACAAATGTAAATCTTCTTTTACTAAAAATGAATGAACAATTTAGTGTTCCATTCAATGCTATTGGAAATTACTTTACAACACATAATCCTAAACCTGAACTGATAATCTTCTTGGGTGAATCCAAGAACATGAACTTCTTCCTATTAAACCGAGATAGCAACCTGCATTTACCCATTCCCCAAATCACAACACCAAGAGGATATAATCCACGCCATATTGTGCACACCAAGGAATAACCACATAATCATGGTAGACACAAAATTTATGAAACCCAAACCACACCACCGGCCTTTGTACTTTAACCTCAAAACATCAGAGCTTCAGCTTGCAAACCATCACTCATCGAAAATGGGAATAAAGAATATAAAAAAAAAAAATCCTTCAATTGAATATGGAAATAAAAAAATATAGAACAATAAGAAGCCTCATATTTCAACAATATCACTGAATAAAACACCCTAATTAAATTTAACAATAGAAAAAGCTATTCATGATTCATAAGCACACACAATTGAAACATAAGAATCAAGTGCCCTAATAGCACAAGAAATCCTAGATTCTCACTAATAGGAAAAATCATATAGTAAGAATCTTCAAAGGAAAAAGAAATGATCATACCCCAGAATAGAGATAGTAGTTGCCCCAGTCGCCTCTATTAGAGAAAGAGCATTTTCCACTGATTGCTTAGACCGAGAGTGAGAGATTCCCCCTAATTCCTTAGAGAGCGGGTCCGTTTTGGGTGCAGGGTGGACGGAAATTTTTACTAATTTCTGACAGGGTTAGTGTTCACATTAGACGGAAAATTTTGTGAAGGGCAAGCTTCCAATGCTTCCCCTGCAACATAAAACTCATACACTTCCCCTTATCCAACCGTCCATTCTCAATGGAGGGCTAAGATTGCCTTTTATTCAACCCGCCATTCTGAATGGAGGGTTAAGATTGTCCTAATCACTATGTCACGTCTCCATACAATTTTATTTTTTATTATTTTTATATAAAATATTTTGACACCAAATTTTACAAGTCTAATCCTATATTAAACTCGCTCTAACAAAAAATATAAAAACAAATATTTTTAATAAAATAAAATAACCAAAATACCCTTAAAAATTGTAAGAGATATTTTGGTCATTATATTTTATTGAAAATTTATTTTTAATATTTTTTATAAATGCGCCCCAATGAGAAGATGGGACGTACCAAATTTCATATCCATACAATTTGTATAAAAAAAACTAAAATTAAAATACTTTGAGACTTTGGATCTAAGATCAAACAGTGTGTGACTCTCTTGATCAAAACTAAACAGCTGTATGATAGAGGAAGTATAGATCTTCTATGTTGCTGTAAAAATATAAAAACTTTTCCCTTTCAGTAATTTGTAAAAGAGAACTCTCTGTACTGCCCCACCAATAAAGGCAATAGAGATAGGAGATATGTCCATTGCACTCTTTGGTGTGGTAAATGGACCCTTAGTGCTCGATTGGTATGCCTTATATCTAGTAAATGTATCTTTAGATGAAAGAATTTCCTAATGTGTGGGAATGGGGTTGAGATCAAGGTGGTAGGACTACAGCCTTTATTGGTCTAGGATTCCATTCCTATCGACTAACTATTTCTAAAACAAATAGGTAGGGGTTTGTTTTCCCCAACATTATACCAAAAAAATAGGTTCCTAATGCAATTAAGTGTAGGAGTTTTTCACATAAATTGTCAATTGACATAAAAAATATAATATGGGTAATTGGTGTGAGAAAAAGAAAGAAGAAAAAAAAAAAGTAAAAGAAGGAAAAAAATCCACAGGGCTAGAAATTTGAAAGGAACCTGAGAATTGGAAAAAAAAAAAAAAACCCACCAAGCTAAACATCCGAAAGGGCCCTTGGAGCGATAGAAATTTTTCTCCATCTCCCCAAAGCCTGATTTATCTAGGAATTCTTCTTCTCATCTCTCCAAATCCCCTTTTATCCAAGAATTCTTCTTCTCATCTTCTTCAGGGACCTTGGAGCAATAGAAAAAAGCTATCCGTCTCTCCAAAGCGTCTTCGATCCAAAAGTTATTCTTCTCAACTTCTCATCCTAAGTCAGAATGGTGTCAAAAGCAAAGTAATATGAAAGGCATCAATCCTGGCAAACTTGAAGGACCTCAATCATCTAAAACTTCAAAAAGAGTCAATGACATAAGAGCCAAGGCTTACCAGCCTATTTTTTGAAAATTTTCTCGTTTAAAAAAACTTCTCCTATGTGGTCGTGATTTGAAAAATCTTAGTTTCTTTGTTAAAATTATAAGCCAAGGTACTTGGTTCTGTTTTGCTTGAATCATCTCTTAGTTTTCAAAACTTCTAAGAAAGTTTTTCAAAACGAAGGAGTTGGACAACCCCGTACATGATGTTACCGTGTTTCCACCTTCTTTGAAAGCCTTGAAGAATGGGCTGAAATCCTTAAGAAGACCCATTTTTTAGGAAAAAAATAAGCCGTAGGTTCCTAAAACCTCAGCCTGAACCTGTGGTCTTTGGATTTTTTACTCATAAGGTGAAGAGAAATTCAATTAACCAGATTTTCATCAACAACATTTATCTTCTAATTCAAGTTCCCATTCAGGCTAAAAAAGAAAAAGGTCTAAAGCCAAAGATGACTATACTAGCATTCTGGGTAGCACTGTGATGACCTTAATAAGAAAAAATAAGCAGTTTAGAGATAGCATAGATCATGTTGAGTGTTACTTTGTGTACCAATTGTCAAATACTCTCAATGGAAAATAACTACCTCAAAGGCAGTTCAGTTCTAGTTTGATGCCTTACAAATAAAAAATCCATTGGTGTACCACATTCTCAAAGGATACTGGTCATATGAAAAAGTGACCCCTCTTTATTTCTTCCATTTGTCTCTGATATCTACTTATTTGCCATTCACCCAATATCCCAGGTGAATTCCAAATAGAGACAATTGTAGACACCCCACTGTAAATTCTAGCTAGGGGAATTCTTATAAACATTAGTTCTAAGTCCTAAGGACCACACTAAGCCTATTGAACCATAGTGAATCTAGATCCCTTAGACTTGTCCCAAAACTGTTAAAGCCTAGCTAAGTCGAATTAGAGCGCAAGAGATTTATGATGGTTCAAGCATCATCAAAATTCGATCCATCATTCGAATGATATGAACCGGGGAAGATTGTTCAAGAGAAATAATTGAAATTGATTTGCAAAAACAATGATAATATTTTCTCTATACAATATTTAATGAGAATAGAGTTGTGAAAACTGAGATATAATGATTCCACTTTATTTTTTTAATTATGATGGTTGATCTAAAGAATGAATGGATGAGATCTCTTCACCCCACAGATCTCCATGATCAAATTTCAAGATGGGCAAAACCCTAAAACCCTAGCCGCTATGTTATATATACACTCTGTGGGATCATTTTCTTTACACCTATTGCTAGCCTCTCTCTCTGAACCCTACGGTAGGCACACATCTCTCTCTATCGCCCTCTCTTTCATTTTCATCTCAGTTTAGGATTCCGATTTTGATTAGAAGTTAGAACCCTAAGGGCTCACCCAAGCCACAATAGTGGCACGTCCAAGCCTATATGCTTTGAGCTTTTGATCTTGTATTGAGCCTTAGTCAATCATTATCCTATGTCATGCTCTCAAGTAATTTTTTTCTAGGCTTCCCAAGTTATGAGACGAGTTTAGACCAATATCTCATGCGCTATTGGTGAAGGAGACCCAGTGTGGGGTGTGCGAAGTCCTTGGGGGTAATAAGAGACAAGATATGTGTAATTACTTTATTTCATGTTTTCTTGATTTTATTCCTAGTGTTATGTAATTTTCGAATTCATGTTATAAATGAGTTTTTGTTTTGATGGCAAGTAAGTGAGAGTCATTTACATTCTTTGTAATTTTTTTTTTTTTGGTTCATATATTATATTTGGACAGTTGTATGCAATCCAAGTGGTGAAATAAAGAAAAAGAAAAAGAAAAAACTTTATCGGTATGCACTTGCTTGGGTTATATACTCATACTTTCATTGTATCAGAGCTAGGACTTCTTGCTGCCATCTCCTTTCATTTTTATTATTTATATTGTAAACTGAATCAAGAGATATGGCGCAAAGAGTTTTATGACCGAATTTTGAAATCAGAAAGGTTCGATGGAAAGAACTATGTTTCTTGAAAGTAGAAAGTAGGATACAACCTCTATGAGGAAGATATACACGATATGCTCACCGAAAACCCTGCACAATTCTTAGAGGGAATGCCTCTCAATCTTGTGAAGTGCACGACGATAGCCTCTTGTGAAGCGCATGGCGATAGCTTCTTGTGAAGCGCACAACGACAGCTTATTGTGAAGCGCACGGTGACAGCTTCTTGTGAAGAGCACGACGATAGCCTCTTGTGAAGCGCACGACGATAGCCTCTTGTGAAGCGCATAGTGATAGCCTCTTATGAAGCGCAACACGATAGCCTCTTTAGTAAAGCACGCGGTGTTAACATCGCACGATGTTAAGGCATAGGCGGTAGCAGGTTCATGAAGCACAGGCAGCAGCGACTCGCATTTGGGCCTCGGGCTTGACTCGCTCCCACCAGGACTTATCACCGTTTGGAGACGAGGATTGGAGCATCATTTCGAACTTATGAGGGGCACTTCATGTAACCCTCGCCTATAAAAGGGGTAAAACCCCATTTTACTCTTTTACCTTAGGTAAAACAGTGTGAGAGGTTTAGAGCGAGAGAGAACTCCAAAAAAGAGCTTCCGACAAGAATCATAGTGCGCAGAGACTTCACAGGCAACACTTCAGTGAGTTTGAAGGTATTCGCAAAGTACTTGCGAATATTTTTTGAAAGTACCACAGCTTCTAAAGAGGGTAACAGTGGTTTTGCAAGGATCTACCGAGACTTTTTCGGTGAAGAATGGTAGCCATTGAAGCTTCTGTGAGAGAAACAGTGGTGCCATCAGGTTGCGACACTATTTTCAGTGTGCACATGGAGTCTTTAGTGGACTTCTGGCAGTCTTGCAGTCACTAGCAGGTTGCAGAGGCTCGGGGACATCAGGGAGGATGACAGGGACTGTTAGCACTTGCACAGGGCTTTCCGGTGACTTCCCGATGTCCTTACAATTGTTGTCAGGCAGACCGGAGCTACAACAGTTGTTCTGCCTGAAGTTCAGTGATTTTTTGGTCAGTAGAAGAGTGTGAAGAAGGGAGAAGGAAACCCGCAAGGTAACAGGGGAGCTTCTATGAAGGTTCCAGTGACTTCCCGGTATTCTCGGCTGTTGGTAAGGGGAAAGAACAGGGTCAGAAGGGGGTTCTCGGCGGACGGATGAGAATTTTTAGCAAAAACCCGAAGGGTTGCAGGGGATGCAAACTTTCGTGAGAAGGTTGACCATCACCGAGAGGTGACGATTGGGGAAACCGAAGAGGCACAAGAGCTATTGCCTCCTAGGAATTGGAAACGGTGGGAACTGGGGCCTCACAAAGGCATGTGTGGCATTAAGTCGCATGCAACACTGCCTTCATGCGGTGTTAAGCTGTGCGCGGCGATAGCCACACTCGACAATATGTCGCTCACAGTAATGGTCGTTCGTCGCGTTGGATCGCCCACAACGATGGTCACCTGCAGTGTTGAGTTGTGCGCGGCGATGACCATGGACTGTGGTTCCTTGTGGGGGTCACAAGTGATGGAAAATGAGAAGGCCGGGCCATTGTGGTCTGTTGGAAGCCAAATCCACCAGCACAACAGTGAAGTCCATGTTATTTTGAGAAAAGAAGTCCATCATAGGCCAGTTCCTTGCCAAGGAAGTAGACTCTATCATGGTACTTCTTCCCTCTCCAGTCATGCCTCGTCAGATGAATTGA